CTCTCAATACCCCTGTGAGAAAGTCAATTATTTCCTTATTTTATAGATTAGTTAACTGAGACTCACAGTGGTTAGGTGATTTAAAATTAAATCTAGCTGACACAGAACAAAATACCCCCACTCTTAAATATCTAAGTACTGGTTAACCACATTTTTCAATCTATATTAAATTATTAGAACTTGAACATAATATTTATATATAAGTATTTATTATTGTCTATTGTGTGCCAAACACAAAAGAAACAACATACCTTCATAGAGTTTAGAGTTAAATGGGGGGTACAGGTACTTGAGCATTCAATTTTCATATAGTGTAACAAGTGCACTTACAAAGGATATCCAGAGTACTTGAGGATCACATAGGAGGGGCATCTATTCTAGACCTGGTGCGGAGAAGGTGATTTCAAAGGAGCTTCCTGCAGGAAATGATGTCTAAATCTAGACCTAAAGGACTATTGAGAGGTAATCAGGTGAACAGGTAAGGAGAGGCATTCCAGGCTGAGGGACCAGCATGTGTAAGAAGAGAAAGTCAGAGGCTGAAGTTGCACTACAGAGAGTTAAACAGCAGTGGAGCAATAGCATGGAACCATGGAGTAGTTGAGTCAGAGACAGAAGCCTTGACTCGATTGTGCAGTTGCTTATAAACATCTCTTAAGGGATTTGAAATTTACCTTGGGGTCCTTAGGAAAATTTTGAAAAGTTTCAAGTAGTAGATAAACAATTAGATTTACACTTAAGAAAGATTATACAGTATGCCTTGTAGTACAATGGATTTGATTCACTGAAGTCTCTGGAAGCAAAACATGTTGGAATAAACTACATCTGAACTCTATGTAAATTGGCAGAATTTACAGAAGATTGATTTTAGCTGGGTCTTCAGGGACAGGTCTGCAGATTAACCCAGGACCTGGGCACTTACGCAAGAGGACAGGAATCTATCTATCTATCTATGGATAGACAGTTTTGCTCAGACCATAGTCAGGAATATTCCTTATTTCCCTGCAGAGACAAGTGAGAATTGAAGCTCTGCAACAAAGGTTTGAAAAAGGATTGGGAAGAGACTGTCCTTTCCCATTGAACATTTTTTGGCTTTCTTTTCAAATATTAGTTAACTATACATGTGGAAGTTTATTTCTGGGCTCTCTATTCTGTTTCATGTGTCTATATGTCTATTTTATGCCAATACCATACTGTTTTGTTTGCTATGGCTTTGTAGTATAGTTTTAAATCAGGAAATGTGATGCCTTCATCTCTGTTGTTCTTCAGGATTCCTTTGTCTATATGGCATCTTTTGTGATGCCATACAAATTTTAGGATTTTTTTCTACTTCTATGGAAAATATCATTGGAATTTTGACAGGCATTGAACCTGTAGATGGCTTTGGGTAGTATGAACATTTTAACAGTTTAATTCTTCCAGCCCATGAACACAGGCTAGCTTTCCACTTGTTTGTTTCTTCTTCAGATTCTTTCATCAGAGTCTTATGATTTAGTGTAAAGACCTTTCACTTCCTTGTTTAAATTTATTCTTAGTTAGTTTATTGGTTTTGATGCTATTTGTGAATGTGATTTTTTTCCTTTAATTTCTTTTTCCAAATATTTCATTGTTTGTGTACCTAAATGCAACTGATTTCTGTACATTTATTTTGTAATCTGCAACTTTACTGAATTCATTGATTAGTTCCAACAAGTTTTTTGTTGAATAGGGTTTTCCATATATAAGATCATATCATGTACAAATAAAGACAATTTCACTTTTTTCTTTCTGATTTGGATGCTTTTTATTTACTTATCTTGCGTAAGCTAAGAGTTTCAATACTATGTTGAACAAGAGTGATGAACAATTGGGGCACCCTTGAGTCTTTGCAATAAATGGTATTGTGAAAACCGGATAAGCACATGGAGAAAACTGAAATTGGACCCCTCCTCATCTTAAAACATTCACAGAAATTAACTTGAAATGGGTTTCAGACTTAAACATAAAACCTGACTGTAAAATGCCTAGAAGAAAACATAGGAAGGAAAGCTCCTTGACATTGGTCTTAGCAACAATTGTTTTGATATGACACCAAAAGTACAAGCAACAAGTTTATTTGGACAATAAATAAATGAGACTATGTCAAACTAAAAAGCTTCTGCACAGCAAAAGCAGCACTCAACAAAACTAAAAGACAACTTACAGAATGGGAGATATGTTTGCAAATCATTTATCTGTTTAGGGGTTAATATTCAAAATATGTAGGGAACTCATACAACTCAATAATAAAAAAAGCAAACAACCAAATTTAAAAATGGACAGAGGAACATAATCAACATTTCCCCAAAGACCTACAAGTAACCAACAGGTACATGAAAAGTTGCTCAACATCACTAATCATCAGGGGAATGCAAATCAATACCTCAATGATATATCAACTCACACCTGTTAGAATAGCTATTATCAAAAATAAGAGATAAAAAGTGTTGGTGAGGGTGTACAGAACAGTGAATACTTATGCAATGCTGGTGGTGCAACCGCTATGGAAAACAGTATAAAGTTTCCTTCCAAAAAAATGAAATTGAACTATCATAGGTGCAATCCCACATTTGGGTATATGTCCAAAAAAGTGAAAACAAGATTTAGAAAAGATATCTGCATTCTAATTTGTTGCAGCATTATTCACAGTAATGAAGATATGGAAAAATAAAGTGTCATTGTCAACAGACTAATAAAGAAGATGTGATTTATATAGATTCAACACTATGTGTGTATGTGTGTGTGTGTGTGTGTGTGTGTGTGTGTGTTGTTTACTTTTCCAGCAGTAGGAAGGAAGAAGTCTCG